ATCCGAATCTAATTCTGAATCGTATTTGAAACACATTGAAAACTGAATATCGCGAAATCAAATGCCAGGAGACAAATATATAACTGTTCGATTATATAAATAGAAGTCGAACTGAGTGATACGGAAAATTGGTTTTTGACACTTAATGCCCCAAGAAACACTGATATGTCTCTTGATTCCCTTTCTGAATCATAACACATTTCCGACAAAAAAACTCGAGCTATAATCTCTGCAGGAAAAATTTTATTTATAGATTGGATAAAGGAGGTATTTGTGTGTTAAGGGTGGAAATGAAAACAGACCTCGATTTCAGGCCCCCGGAGCATGTTTGCTTATGACATCTTTGTTTGGGGTTTATTTGTTGTTTTTATTGTTGTGTTTTCTATACCATCATTGACTTCCTAAACGACGCAATTAGCTATTGAAGGAAATTGTTTATTGGGAGACTGTATCTAAATTGTGTAAAGAGCAACGTTTATTTAATCCTACGCAGATCCTGGATGCCTAGTTTCAATCTCTGTTTTATGTAATTAGCAGAATGTTGCTTAATCTTCAAGCTTTTAAATGGCATTGTCTTGTGGCTATCAGGCAAACAACATGTATATCAGAAAGTAATCAAATAACTGCTTTTTAGGAACATTGGATAACTAAGTCAATTTGGAACATATCAATAGAGCTAATGATGGGTTGAACTCTAAAAATAATAGGTCATAGTGAATGGCGGTTAGAGAACGCCATATAAAAGGTAATAAAATTCTTTAGAGGGTAGTAAAAAGACCCGGTTGAAAGACATAAAGTATAGGTGGCTAAACAGCTCCGATATTTGACCTTCTGCAATTTGCCAGCGGTGTCTGAATATAAATCATATAAGAGACGGCTTTCCCGAATTTCTTCATATTTAGTAAATAAGTTGTGGCGCTCACACACATATAAGAATTTTGATTATATGAGAGAACGTTTAGTTTATGGGTCAGGTTGCGCAGACCTTTGTTTTAGACGCTTTCTTCGAAAATATGTGTGGCAATACATTTTGAATTCAAACACGCTTTATACTCATATGGCCCATTAATTCTAAACTATTGTAGAAACCAGTTTTACCCTTATACAAAACGGCGATTATTTAGGATTACTTAAGCCCTGTCGATCCTGAGCCGATTTAAAATCAAGTGCAAAATTATTAAATAAAGATAGGGACACATCAATCAAAGTGAAAGCTTTTGCCAACATGAAGCTTACTTCAACCAGAACCAATTGGATTTGTGGAAATTCAACGCCCAAGGGTTTAAAGCAGATTATATCGCCTTCCATATTATACTTGTCTTGAACGCTATATGAAGATTATGATTCTAGTTTACTTTCTCCCTAATTATTAATTTGTTCGCATTTGTTTTAATTAACTGTATCAGTTTCGCTCAAAGATATATTTCATACGCGTTGCAACAATAGCGTTCGGGAAACTTTTAAGGGCCTATTAGAAGTTTGACAAAAACATTTCGTATTTTGCCAAGGATTTTCAAAACAAGTCTATTTCGAAAAAGTTAAATTGGTAAAAAATTTGTATTTTGTCTGTATAATATTTACTTAAAGTTTTATTTAACTCAGCTTTCACCAAATGGTAATAATTTTCCAATTTGAAATCCCTTTACTCGATTTGTTCATGGCTTAGTTTGGATATATCTTCCCGCTTATATAAATATTGAATAATCCATTAAACAGTTCGAATTTACATTGGAATAGTAATTCAGAAAAACCTTCATTAAATCAACATTAGATATTGCTTCTTTAATATTAAACGAAAATTTTATTTCTCATTTATTTTACAAGCTTTGCCTTTATTAAATCGTAACAAAGCGTCTAGTTGAATTTAAGTGGATTTATAGTTCTGTCCACTTTCACGAGGTTCAGTCTATTTTCCATAAAATTAAATTTGCTTTTGTCTTTATGATGGTAATTCCAACTACGGCAGTAGTACATTTTTCGCATCGATACTTCCGAAGTTTATCGATAAAATTATCAATTGTTTGATAACCAAATGGAATTTTCAGGCCAATTGATGAGAGCTGAATTGCTGTTTTTGTTTGCCAGAAATAGACATAATTATAGACAATTTTTCAATGAGCTATTTCCATTTGCTCGATTTTTCCAACTTTAGTTAACATGTATAAATGTTGATCAAATACGGTGAAATGAAACCCTGGTTAGAAAAACCGCAAAACGGCTTGAACTCTAACTAATTTGCAGTTGTTCAGATTACAACAGTGTATGCAATTAAAAATACTTCCGGTTGCTTTCTGTTTGCTTAGCATCTACCAAGCCGAAACCAAACAAGAGCGTAGCTTCAACGAATTTCCTGCAGGTACAAAATACTATCGATTTCTCAAATTTACTTTACAACTGGCTTAATCATAATATTTGCTTAAAATTCTAACGAACCATATTTGTTCAACAAGGAAATTATAAGGGTCTAGTTGGGATTTCGTTGACGAATATCTTAGGGTTCATTGACAACGCTGCTCGTTTATAATGCCTTTATAAATTTCAATTTTGAATAAACTTTATTGATTTGCTCACTTTCTGTATGTAGACGATTCAGAACCTTGTTGCATAATGGTGTAATTTTCACTGATAGAAAAAACCCTAGGTAAGTGGTAAAAGCTGATAATTTATCTAGGACTACAAAATGTTGGGCATCGCTCCAATCTATTTCATTCCCCGGATTTTACAGTTTCGCCGACAGACGATAATCTGCCAATTTATAAACAAAAGTGAGCTAAACGGTGGCGCTTTTATTTAAAGTTATTGAAGTTGACTGACAATACAAAAATGCTTACTCGACAATTCATCCTTCGAAGCATTTCGCAATTCATGCCGAAAATCCTCATTCTGTTTGGACTATTGTCAAGCCAAACTTCATTTATCCTATTCATCTAGCATGTATATCGGATGCTTTGCTTTGTTTACCGTTGAGAGCTTCCTATCCAAAAAGGAATTATGTGGGTTAACAGCTCTTAAACCGGTGATTAAATGCTTTTACACTTAAGCATCTATCCAGAAGTTGGAATATAGCTGGAGAGCCGAAAAATGTAAACGGACAAATTTGGGGTAATTGCTTAAGACAATTTCGCGAACGGGTTTGGGTTGAGTAACTCAATTTTCTACTGCGTTACATCTTGACATTTCTTTCCGTTTGCCAAAACTACCACTCTTGAAGCAGTTTCATCACACCTTTATTTTTTGTACAAATGATACTTTAGATGACATTTCGCGAGTAATGGGATTTCAGCAAAAAACACGCTAGGTTTCGAATTAAATTTGCGCAACTAGAAAACGTTCACGGCCAGAAATTAATAATACTCCAACTGATATTCCCGACATTTTAATTCTCAGTTTTTGAGGAATGGAACAAAAAATCATTCTAACATTAGGTCTTTTATCCAGCAAATCTAGGCCAGCACCATTACCCGCATTTTTACAAATTTTTAACTATTGTAATCGCAGATTAATTAAGCTTTCCTTAACGGTTCTCTATTTTACCTTTTACGAGAGGTCGTTGCAATTAACCTGCTGTCACCAATTTTATAAAATCCATTTATATCCACCCACCTTTTAACAAGACTATGGATGATGGAAGCTTTACAGTTCGATGATCTGATAAGAAAGCTGCTCGAATTTATTGCAGAATTGCGAATTAGATTTGGTCTGAATTAGCTTTCGGAAAAGTTTCCTCGTTTAAAAAGCAAATACTCATAAATCTGTATATATTTTAGCCAACAAACATTTTGACAAATCACTGGGCTGCTTTGGCTTTTTATGACGCGCCTAGGAGCAATAAGGCTTAAATAATGGTCTAAACCCTCTAACCCACTGATGTCAGGGTGAACCTTTTATCAGCGTTGCCGAAATTAGCAAACCACAAACACCAGTTTTTGGGGCGCCAAAACGGGATCAAACCAGTGACAAATAAGGAAAATGAAGTTATTCAAATAGTTGACGGAAATGTTGAATCTCTTAGGAATAAAACGGGGAAAGAACGGACCTTTTTTTGACGGGCTGTTTACCGGGAACTCTCGATGAGGCATTTTACGGGGAAAATTCAATATGAAATCAGAATTTCAACAAATTGGCTTAAATTTTATGTATTTGCGGGTGTGGCAATGGTCAGGTGTTATTTGTTATTGATATTTCTTGATCATTAGGCCAATTCATTAGGGATTCACTGAAGTAATAATTTTTTTGCATGTCGGTTTGCAACAATAAACTCCTGGATCGGTTGGATATAGCAGAACATGCTCGAAAAGCTGCTGCTAACAGGTAATAAAGACATAATGTCCCCAAATCCCGGATTTATTTCAGTTTAATGGTACAGAGATATGGTTGGAAATAGCCGAAGTTTTAATTTAATTTCTCTCAACAATTAATTAAACACGGTTTACGTTACCCACAGGATTGGCGAGGTAGATAGTAAATTCAGTTGATTAGTATAGCTTGAAATCAAAAGGCTAAAGTGACAGTTATACTGGCTTTGCCAATTACTATTCGCTTTCAGGCGGCAAGCTTTAATACAATTACACACCTTGATAAAGGTTTATTGTTTATTGCCTCTAATGATGTAATATACACATGTATATATTTCGTTGTTGAAATCCAGTTTCGGTAATTATTTACCTTAATCCCACCCAGAAGTTGGGAATTACATTGCAGCTATTGACAAATTGTTTAATTTGCTTTAGTTTCGACACAATTTACATCCGAATCCATCCACACATCCAAAACTTGATTTAAAGAGGAATCTAAAATGTTCCTTTTTCTCCCAATTCGTGTATTCCGGGCGAGATTATTGTTTGGATTTCTCCTTTAGTATCTTCGAAGTAGTAAAGGCAAGCAATCTGGAAAAAAGTTTTCAGTTGCTGCCAAATCAGGATAGTTGTTTGTTTGCTTGGTTACATACTCGAGAGATAACTATTTACAAAAGGAACACACTTTCTGAATGCTGACTCCATCCTAAATGCTATCACATCTATTCACCCATTATTTTTCCTACAAATTCTTATCAATTCGCAAGCTTTGACATGGCTCAGTGAACCATTTAGATGTTATTAATTGTTCAAGTTAAATTTACTCATCTTTAGTCTTTCAAATGCTTTGTTCCAAAATCCATGAAGGAGTTTACGTTTTAAATTTCTCATTAAATTGGCAAATTATCTTTACACAGTCTACCACTTTATTTCTTGGATTAGCCATCAAAATTAGACATTTGAAGAAGTTGTACTGTTCCAAGTGATGGAGAATTGTGATTGGTTTATGAATGTCGGGCCATAAGTTAGACTCTTGTATACAAATCGACTCTCTACTCCAATAACAAAATAATATTTAACGCTCAGGAGTCTAGGGCCTAAAAGCCATTCATAATTCAGCTATCAAATTGCCCGATGGAAAAAGGACTACCCTGTTCTCCATGACGGTAAATATTTGGCAGCAATAAGCGAGATCCTATATGTGGGATATCAAGTGGATCATAATGCGACAGGTAAAAGGATTTGGGTGAATTCAGATGTAGCTTGATTAATAAAACATTATCAAGCCACAAATCGACTAGCAGTGAAGAAAAAATGTAATTTTACTGAGACGTCTTTACTATCTAACTAAACCTATTGATGTCTTCAAGTTCGGCACTCATAATACCGCAATTAATCAAAGAAGAAAATGACAACGACTAACTTAGGTGTTGAATGTGTGAAACTGACCATTTATATGTATAGTTAAAACAATCTGACTGAATCTGTTGGTTTCCATAAATACTGCTAATTTAAAATAAAGCTACGCCAGTAAATCCTATAACAAAAAGCGACAAATTGCTGTTTTGTAATTCGTGCTGCGATACGTCGAGTATCATATAAATTAAACGATTTATTGCAACAGATACTATTCACTAAAGTAAACGCGGTTTGGAGGCCTCTACAAAATGGCCCAATTACTTGTGTTGAAAGTAATGTTATTTTAACAAATAATTTAAAATTAATCATTTAGCAATACTTTGACTTATCCTGAAGAAAACACTACAAAGTTTCCATCTGGGTTCTTCCTAACGGAAATTGAATCATGTCCAACAGTTCTTGCTTTAATTTTTTTCAAGCTCCGATGAAAAATAATTTTTGCATCATTCAATTTTGGTTTCCTGGAGTTATCGCGAGCACTATCGTCATAGTCTTCATCAGTTTGATCAACAGTGTCAATGGGTTTCTCTGGAATGCCTCCACCATCTTCAGCATTTATAACTTGAAATCCTGCAACTCCCATGCGAATGCAGTCAAAAGACCACTCGAGTAAAGTAAAGTCTTCCCAATTGGCTTCTGCATCAATGCACAAGTGCACGTTTCGATTGGCGAAGTAAACATTTGAAAATTCCACGCAGAACTTTACAAAGCGAAGTCTTGGCAGGCGCATACACACTGGTGGCGGATTTTTTCCTGCAAAAAACATCTTAGATTAGGAGTGAAAAAAAATATTTTCTCGGTTGTTGTTTCAAAATAAAATGATTTCCCCGCGAATAACATTGAGCAGGAAAAGAATTGAATTCAAATCCTGAATAACCTCAAGGTAAACAATCAGCCATTCAGCATGAATAGAAAATCTGAATTGCATAGTAAGCATTTAACGACTTAACTTTGTTAGTTACACAAAGCTGAAGAACTTGACTGAAAAATGGAAAACCATGCTCTTGTTTGTACACCGTTTAGCGCTAATTGACAAGATTTTTGTGTATTGACTGTAGGAGACTTAAATAAGCAAATAAAACGTTTTCGAAGATTCCATTACCTTTAGCAGTTTATTTTTCTTGTCCAGTTCAAAGAAAGGGTTAGTACAGAACGAATGTACCTGACAGGATTTATCGGCGCCAATCTTCCATGTCTTGGAGGAAAGAAAACCGATATTTTTTGCCTTAAACTAGGGGCTCAAGCAACTGTAAATTTGTTTGGATTTTAGCCCCAATAGATTGAAATGTTGGTCTAGTTTTATTCTGGTTGCATGTAAAATACTCTGCGGCAATAGAAACGCCTTCACTATTATTGCCCCCAGCGGTTTTATAGTTTGGGTACTTTTGCGTTAATTTGAATTTATGTATCATAATATACGAATGATTGTTAATTTAAGTATTTTTGCTTTCAGCTGTGCTATGACTCCTAAATGATAAAGCGTTGAAAAGACTGTTGAATCAAATGCATCAACTTGGATATTATTAAAGAAAAGCCTGTGTTTTCGTCCAGTGTGGTTTGTCCCTTGGGCACTGAAAAATGTTGTTGATCAATGAGTAATAAAATTTCCATAAACATGAAATTCTATTCATTGAAAGTCCCCATTGTCTATACGCTTTGCGGACTGTAATCAAATACTCCTTCAACCATCCAATCCAGCTTGTCACCACCGTTTTAGTCCGTAAGACACCTCAAAGCAAATTTACATATATTTTAAGTTTGAGGGTATATTCTAGCCTTCTATCCATACTTAATTTAATTATACTGTTCCTCAGAGAATGTATAACGCGTTTCGCCTTAGGACGCATCGATAACGAGAAGCCATTTGGTTTCAGTTAGTCTTTGAGTTGAAAATATTCTTCATAACAATAAAACTGATTTCAGTATAGCAATTATGCTAATTGAGTGAAAGATTTCATTGCTTCAGCCAGCTTCAGAGTTACATAAATGAATGAGTTATTGTGGCCTCATCAAGCACATCTTGACCATCATAAATGCTCCATTCTCCTAAGTTGCTTCTATTTTTTAAAGATGTATGCGAATTGTTTTCAGCCAAAGGTGACTGTCTTCTGTTCAGCACTAATATTCTAAGCATAAAGTGTAGAAGGTTTTGCGCAAACTGTATCGAGCAACTCAAAAATGTTTCCAACTCCGAACATCATTAAAAGCATATTGGCACTTTCAAGTTAATAACAGTTTGGCAAAATCTGATATATCTCACATTTCCAGTTTATATTTACCTTGAAATATTAAATTCAAATGGTGCATATTTGATGTTTCATATCATGAAGAATAACCCGTCCGCATGACCTTTTTGTAGTATAAAATATGCAAAAGGGTCGAATTTCAGCTTTTTAACAATATTACATTAGCTAATTGCGTGAATATGTATGGAAATACTTTAAATATTTTTTTTCTAAATATTTTAAGCAGACGCAGGCAGTGAAACTTAGTGTGATTTAAAATGCGAGAAAATTCGCGGCATTCATAGAATCTCACATCGAATATTAAGCCGTTGATATTACATAAGATATGAAAACCGCGAGATGGAAAATCTGTTTCCCAATGGGGACATTAAAATATATATGACAACGCAAATATTTATATTGGGAGGAAGCTCTTGCCCAATACGTGACTCTTTTCTAAAGAAATAACTTTCGCGGAAGGATTTAAAGAAAATATCCTGTAAATCTAATTTCTACCCTAAACACGTATAATCGTTTAGTTTCCAGCTTCTTTCCATAATTTTTATTAATAAATTTAAAAGCATACAATTCACTTTCTCGAATTTACTTTCGTTCATACCGATTCCAATTCAACTGTTTTGAAAAATTTTAATATATGACTCAATTCGGTTATTTGCGCCCCGGGCAAAATTTATGGATTAAGAATTCTATTCGGAGATATTTGAAGATTTTAAGTGTCTTTTTCAGGCAAAGTTCTATTAGAATATTTGTCATCTAATGCAGAAAGCGCATTCCTAAAAGTAAAAAGGTAAAACCGCTCGATTCTTAGTGCTTTTAAGCTCAACCCACTAATAAAATAATAAAGCCCATTTCCGATCTTTCATAAATTTACATTAAGATAAGAAAAGCTAGTTGGACCACAGAGCAGGATTTAGCTTAAGGAGACACTAAAAATTGCAAGACTTTGTCCATTCGAAGGCAGCGCCTAAAATTAATAGTAAGTTTTATTTTAAAAGTACCTCAGTCTATCTCAGCGAGATGTACACACGTGCATGCATTATTTAGAATTTTCAGAAGACAAATTGCGAGATCTAAAATCTGTATTTTGAAAGAAAAGGGATTTACGAGAAATTTTCCTTGTTGCATAGGAACATAAATACAATTTCATCAAGCAGGTTTATGCCTAGATGTTTTATTTGAGGTTTTCACCCGCCGTTATTTCCATTTTTGAAAATATTCCTGATTAACCTAAACAATATGATTTATTACCTGCTAATAGAAAGTATAGTAAACTTTTAATAGACTAGTTTTCAACTTGATGGAACTACGTTAACATAATACGCCACCATAATTCTGATCTCGTATATAAGTTTATACAGATAAGTTTATAGAAAGTTATACATCATTATAATGAGTTTTCTGCATGATATCGAAACTTTCAATACCTAAAATGTATATTCGCTAAAGCCGGTGAGATACATAAAGTATTTCATCATTTTAGCGCATCACAATTACTAAATTATTTAAACTCTATCCTGGAATAGTTTGTTTCAGAGCAAATTAATTGTTGATAAGTTCTATATTGTTGAGGAGGATTCACTTTTTTACAAACTTCTTTTTGGGTATTTCGCCTCAAAAATTTTCGTCTTTAAAAAAGACAGAATTTCCTCACGTCTTTTATTACAGATTGATAAA